GATCGATTCATTGAAAATTCGCAGAAATATGCATTTATAAGAAAACACGTGACGCCGCCAATGACAGCTCCTTGAGCGCTGAGCACCATCAGGCAGCGTACTCGCCATTCGGCTTTCCAGGACTCCATTTTACGATGATTTTATTTTATTATACACATAATAATATAATGTGGAGAAGAATATAAAAATGAGTAAGTCATTTTATTTATAAACATTTATGTATTTTATGTTTACATACAAAATATATTTCTTTTTTCATATATATCCTTCAATATATTATTTGTTACAGTATTTTAAAAATAAATTAAATAGAACTATACACTGCGAAAACAAAATAGTTACAATTACCATAATTACACTATAATTTATAGTGTGTAAAAGAAACAACCACATTTTTATAGTTATTTCAACCATACGGATTATAGCTGATTTAATCATGTTTTTATAGTTAATTCAACCATAATGGATTATGGTTGGGCCAACCATAATTTTATAGTTAAATAATTGGTATAATGAAAACAAATTGGTATAAAGAAAACACATTGGTTTTAAAAAAAAGTATGCAGTTGCATGTCGCAAATTACATATTTTTTTTTTAAAGCAACTATGTGTTTTCTTTATACCAATTGATTCGTCTCATTATTTTGTGCATAAAAGTATTAAGGTAAGATTTCCGAAAATTGAATGTTTTACAAGATATTTTGTATTTTATATCAAAATGCTGTAACTTTCAAGCCTCATAACTCGAAAAGTACTTAATGAAAAATAACTTCATTATAGTGTTTTGAAAAGCTCTTGATACCAGCTATTAGATTTTGGAATCAAAAATAGGGGTTTCTATTTAAAAAATTTGATTTGACCTTGAAATGACCTTGAAGGTCACGAGCAAGGCCAAATCTAAGGTAACCATCGGATTGCCCGAAAAAAATCCTACAACTTTTGTCGAGGTCATTTTCCTCTGTGATGCGTATTTTTCAAATTATCCAGCCGTCCCGGAACTTTTGACACACGCTGTATATTGTGTATACCACAACATTTTTATCATTTTGTTTGCAAACGAGCTATCTTTTAATACTTCTTCTAACCGTTTTAATGCATTCATATTTATCAATGGCAGATCATATTCTGTAAACTCTATAAAATCATATGTTTCTTGATTATTATGCCGCATAATGCTTGATGCTTCCAATAACATCTGTATTTCTGGGAGTTTCTAAGAAGGTTCTAGAATCCTTTGGAAATGTAGTATTTGTAAAAGTATTTAAAATTTTCAAAAGTTCTTTTAGTGCAGAATGTGTAATTCCATATTGTATTGCCCATGCAGCCACAGTTTTTTTTTAAATTTTATCTGCGTTTTCATTTAAAGACTTATTACTTGTTTTAGAATAAAAATAATTATCATCATTTGTATTTATTGTTTCTACAAACTCTGTCAATAATGCACCATCATGTTCAATGGAATTCGATTGTGATGTGTCATCATCAACTTCATTGTTTTGATTTGGTAATATGTGATGAGTAGAGCCCGGATTTAAGTTCTCAGATCGAGCAACCGTAGCTAGTTCTCCCCACCATGTCGCGCTCGTCGAGCGTGTCGAAGTGAAGCGAGCTGTGAGGAACTCGCTACGGTCGACTCGAAATGGTACGTCGGCCGGCGGAAAATCCGAGCTCTAGTGATGAGCAACGTTATCATCTAGTACATTTCTCGTCTTTACAGTACTTTCCTTATTGCATTCTATATTTATTGAATGAACACTACTATAAGGCGAGGTTTGTTGTGCCAGCAGTAACTTTCTATTATAAGAATATGAATCTGCTTCAAATCTAGCCAAACGTCTAAGATAACTCTTAAAATAAATTTTTAATTTGCGTATCCCACTCATAATGGTTTTGTTGCTATTAAAAACAGTAAAACAAAGAACGTTGAACTAACCTTTTAATATGCTAACCTACAATTAAATATTAATCGTTTCTACATTACCTGGTTTTTATTAAAAGTAAGAGGTAATTGAAGAACTGTACACTTAAAAATGGATAAATCGAAGCTTTAAGATCTTCAATAAATACTTTTTTTCTCACTTAATACTTCGCTGTACAGCACACACTACATATTTCACTATGTAATGCGAGCAAGACGAACGCAATCTTTGTTGAACGCAACTGATGTCGAACGACAGAGATAAAAGGCGCGCAATTTGAACAATTTTAAAGCTAATATATAAGATTAGAAAGATATTTTTAATTAAAAATAAATATAAAATAATAAAAAATACAATTTTTATACATTTTCAATTCAAAATATTATACATATTAGAAATGAGAATTATGTTACCTTCACTAGTAAGTAGTATAAATAAGAGTAATATGAGGAAGATGCATAATAGCAGTAAAGTAATAACTATTTTTTGTTGAATAAATTACAATTTAAAAAATTCTTTTTTTATTACTTCTTTGGGTTCTTTAATTGGTCTTGAATGTTAATACGTTATATAATATTTAAAAAAGGTAAAAGATTTAGTAATTTTTTTAACCTCTTCGACATGGCAAACATGCGCCATGTGGTGTTTATCTGACGGTTGAAAGCAACTCGGCGCGAGAAGATTTATCCCTACGCGAATACTTTTGTGTAATACATGTCTTCTAATAATATATTCACAATAATATGTTATCAGATTTGTATAAAAATTTTCTATTTGTTGCATCTGATTTGTAATTCTATTTGTTGAAAGAAGCACTTGTGTATTTAGATATCATATGTACTTTAGATATCTGTTATCTAAAATGTTCTTATCATGGAAATTTTATTTATAATATTTATCGATACATTTAGTATATCTATTATGTATGACACGCACAAGTTAATTTATAATTTTCTTTTTTATTACGACAATTTATATTCGTAGATATGTACTCTAAATCTAAATTAAATGTAATGTTTTCACACATACATTCTGTTTTATTCATAGCATTAGTTAGTCTGTTACCTTGCTAGAATTTGTTGTTGCTTCACATAATTTAATGCGGTCAATTGGGATGAATTATAAGAAGATTTATAATTGGACTGGATCTTTTGTCCAGCATTTAACGTGTTGAAAATAATAACACCTAATTTTGTTACAAACATTCATCTGATAATTCAACGGAAAATGTGAGAAATGCCGATATTTTAATTTTTAATGTTGAGACATAGTACATGTTTTCTTACATTTATACTCTATTCTATCATTCTTCACCATTATCACTTGCGACGACTTTTCCTTCTCGTTAGAAGCACACAATCCGAAAGACGTGCAAAATCTCGTTGCTCTCTCTATTCTATACATTAACCACACGGCAATACTTAGAATTGGACGCCAGGCACGGATTAACGCGCCGCACAAATAAATAGGTCAGAACAAGTATATCGTTAATAACGAGCAACGGCGATAAGCGCGACTAGCCCGCTCACACCAAATGGCAGAGGGGCGAGGTTCTTTAGAGATGCAAACAAAAACTTGGAGAGAGGAGTCTGAAACAAGGCTATTATAGAAAACACATTAAATCGTATAACAAATAACAAGCATATTTATAACAATGGTATTATAGAGGGTGACACAGGGTGTTGCGTGTATTCGAAGGATTCGCTCTGCAAAGATACAACCCGTACCGGTGAGATGGAACTTATTATCTTACGGATGTTCGGTTCGCGTACTATATTCTCACTCGGTATACAAAGCTTGGTCTAATCTTGCAATGATCATTGAGTACGGTTATTACGACTTATCCTACTTCGCTCTTTCTCGATATCGTTAATAACGTACAGCATTGGTTCTCTTGACCTCGCTATTAAAAGTTCTCAATTAACGCTCTCGGCAGAAGGCCGAGGCGAGCCCTCAAATAATACAGCGACAAAAGACGTGGCATAATTACATTTACCGGACACAAATACGCGGTACGCAGGAAACAATTATAGACGCAAAAATACTAGTTTAACATGACGAAACGCGAAATGGCGACTGTCGGCTCGGCAGCCCCGAAGGGAAGAGTGTGGCAGAATCTAATTCTATATAGCGGTAACCAGCGGGGCCCGGCCGTAATCTAACCTCACACGGTATCGCGAGAAGTCTCAATACATACGATATTTCTCAAGTACATTACGCGAGATGTTGTTTCCGCGAGGCTCGGGCCGCCTGCTGGTACCGCTCTTACCGCGAAGTCGAAGTGGTGGCCTTATAAAATCGTCGATACGCCCGTTGTGGTCCTCGAGATTCCGCTCGGGTTGCCGACTCGCCGAACAGTGACGACAGTGAGGCCCGCCGGACATCGGTGACAATCCGCGCATCGTATTGCGCACGTAGATCCTGCGGTATCGATGAGTTGTTACTCGATCCTTCCTGACGCTCCTCGATCTTTCGGCCCTCTGTGGCGCTTTTCCGTGGCGACCCCGGTCTTATTTGTGGTAGCTGTCTCGAACGTTCTTCGCGGCCTTTTCCATTCCGGATCCAGACCGTCTTTTGAATCGGCCGTGAACTGGCCAGGTTCCGACCTGATTCTTTTCTCCCGGCTCGTTACGGCAGCTCCATTTACTGTGGTACTCCACCCCGGGCTTTCGGGAGTGCGAGAGCTCTCTTTCCCTTCGGGCGTCAATCCTCTCAATGCGTCCACTGGCTCTGATCCGTTTCAAGTCTGAAACGTTATTCTCGGTAGCGACATATTCTATGGATCTTATTGAACATGATGGAATATTCTTACGTGACCTTATGGATCTGTCCACGCGATGTCCGGGCCTCCGTCGTCCCGTCTGCAGAGTCCCCCGCAGGTCCCACGAAGGCTGCTCCTCGTTATTCACACAACATTGGTTTTTGGCCACTCACTCCGCTCCGCAAAATCGCTAAAGTATACACAAAAAGGGAGAGGTCATCGCCCCCCCACGGTGGGATTCACGACCTAAGTTTTTCTCCCTCCTCGACCGGGCCTATGCGCCCTTGTGACGGACATCAAAATGTCACGTCACACACTGGGTGCGTTCGGGAAGCGCACTTTTGGCGCTATGAGCGCGCTTTGGTCATTCGTGGAGCCGCTTTATAGCACCAATAAAGTGATGTTGACGTCATTGTTTTTGCCTTGTGACGTCATCACTCATGCTAACTCGTGCTCAGGATTTCGAGGTGAGGCACGACATGCTAATAGCTCTCATAGCGCCAAAATGTGTTCCCTGAACGCTGTTCGAATGTTTTCTGCTTCTGTCTCGCTCAATTTGAACAAGTGTACGTATTACTTATTTATTTATTTTCAATATTTGTTGAAAATGAATCAGGGCGTACTAGTCACCTTAGAAGACATCAACACCGGTCTAGTTTATACAACGCGTCTCTCACCAAAAGATGCGCACAGAGTAGAAACCGGTAAGTAATGGAAGGTTATGTTTCTGTGTTGTGTTATTTATTTTATTTATTTATGTTATTTTCAGATACTGTTTTTGCTTCTGAAGTTCTGTCTGTATTAAAGAAAAGCCAAGGGGAGTCAAGTTCATCAAGCTCCATGATCTCAACGGCATCAACTTTAGATGCCGAAATTCCTGAATCAGAACCAGATTCGGTCTTCAAATGGTCGCATCAGGCTGTTCTCCTTCTAATTGAGGAGTATCGGAAGAGAGAGGAAGATGTCATATCAGGTAAGATAATGATGTCATTCATTATAATGATCTGTGCATGATCCTCGGTTTTCTCACAGATTTCATGTTTCTGTAGGCAAAATATCGCAAAAGCGAGTGTGGAAGTCGATCAGTGAAGTTCTTTGTAGGCATGGACATGATGTTACTGGCCCACAATGCCAAAGCAAATTTAACGGGATGAAGAGAACATTTAAATCCATCAAAGATCACAATTCTAAATCAGGAAATAATCCTCGGTCCTGGCCTTATACTGAGGTGATGGAATCTTTGTTAGGAGAGAAACCTTTTATGAATCCTGTTGCTCTGGCTTCCTCTTCAAATCGAGCTCACATAGAGAATGAGAGTAGTGACGTCTCTTCAGTCGACAGTGACACCTCTGTTGGCTCTTCAAACTCACGCAAGAGGAAGACCTCTCAAATTGCAGAGGTCATTATGAAAAGCCGAAGGATGGCCGAAGAAAATATATTAAAACGCCATCAGCAGACAATGGATCAGCGGACTGAAATTTTAAATGCTTTAAATAAGCTTATTAATAAATTGCAAGTATGTAATATCCTCTTGATCAAATTATTAACCTTTAAGCCAAATCTACAATCTATTTTTTGAATTTTTGTTTTCTGCCTTTTTGGCTCTATATAAAGTAATATTTTTCTTTGAAAATTCAGAAAGGACTAATTGTAAAAGACTATATTTCTTGACTCCATGCGATAAACATATAAAAAGCAAAAATACGAAAGATAAAAAAGCAAGAAAAAGTATACAAGAAGTACATTGTAGATCAGGCCTTAATTCTTCTATTTTTAGACTGATTTTGACTTTGTTTTTCTTAGTAGGTAAGATAGAGGCATACTATGCAGCAAGAATCTGATGATACACCAAATTTCATTTCTGTGATGATTTACCAAATCTCAGTGTTTTAAAAGTAATATAAGATAATATTTTTATTTTTGTAATAAAAAGTAAGATAAGATATTTTAATTTTTGTAATGAAAAGTGAGATAAGATAATATTTTTATTTTTGTAATGAAAAGTAAGATAAGATATTTTTACTTCTATGATGATCCACTGAAAATCAGTATTTTAAAGTAAGATAAAATAAGATATTTTTATTTCTGTAATAAAAAGTAAAATAAGATAAGATATAATATCTTTATTTCTGTGAATAAGATATTTAATAATAAGATATTTCTTTATTTTTAAAGATTATATAAAATATTTCTTTATTTCAAAAGGTTTATTATTAAATAATTATATAAAGATTTATGATCTGTTGTCGATTGACATATGTGTGAAATAAATACTATATTTTACATTAACATCAAATAGAATACTTATTTCCAATAAGAGCGTATAGAGAGAGTAAGTGTTACATTTATATTTTATTATATGAATAAAGCGCATTTATCACAAAGCTACACATTGTGCACTAAACATTTCGCATAGGAAATCTCTCACAAATTAAATCTCTTTTGGCAGCACCTGCCAGTTCAAGTGGTGCAGCATCTTGATAAAGATAATTGTCAGCTTCTGCCTCATTAATTGCATCAAGATCGATCTCATCCCCTCTTAATAGGCAAATATTATGCATCGCACAACATGCAATTATGAACATTGGGATTAAATCACATCTATCCATTGCAAGAACGGTCCTTATACTACGAAATCTTGTCTTCAAAAGTCCAAAAGCCCTTTCAATCGCTATTCTGGCAGAGGAATGACAGAAATTGAAGTTTTTCTGTCTAGGAGTGAGATATCCATTGTCACGATAGGGAACAATGACATTCTGATGTAGTTTATACGCAGCATCTTCGAGGATGTGACAATCATCGGGAAATTTCTCAGGATTTCCTAATCACTCTTGCAATTCTGATAATCGAAATACTCGCTGGTCATGCACAGACCCTGGATGTCCTGCGAAGCAATGAATAAAGTGTGCTTTATGATTACACACTGCCTGAGAAAACAAAAAATAACTTACATTAATCTACATTATATTGATACAGATTTAGAACTTTAGTTTAAGCACACAATAAGCTGTCATACTTTCATGTTCAGACAAACATGACATACCTGCAATTGAATTGAATGGTGTCCTTTACGATTTACATATGATGCTGGTTCAACACGAGGAGCTGGAATATTTATATGTGTACCGTCTATAGCGCCAATAATTTTCGGGAAATCGCTGACAGCTTCGAATCCAGTCCAAACTTCATTGACATTGTTGCCTGATGGCCATTTGATAACAGTTGGTGCCAAATTATACAGAGCCCTTACCACTCTTCGTGTGGCATTGAGAGCAGTAGCTTTACTGACATCAAACTTCTCACATATGGATCTGAAAAAAAAAAAAACAATTAGCGATCATAGGCAAGAACTACTACAGTTGTGACACCCAAAAATATTAATTTCACAAGTAACATTCACCTATAAGAATCAGGAGTTGCCATGCGCCATATTGCAATAAGAAATTGCTTCTGAGGAGAAATCATTGCCAGTCCCGTACGTATTCTCTTCAATCTCGAGGCGATAATAGCAAGTATGAACTTGAATGTACCTCTAGATATTCTGCGCCATAAAATAGAAGCACAAGACAAATAAATCTTTTAGTAAGTAAATGCATTAGTGCACATACAAAAATAGCTAAGGTTTTGTGTATATAACTCATGTAATAGAAGATATACGATGTACAATTCACAATTTTTAAATTACCTAAAATGTGACTTGAATTGTTGATCACTATAGGCAGGCACAATGTTCTCCACATAGTTTTTCAATCTTGGCAACTTTCTTCTTTCTACCACGCACATAACATGTTCTAATTCATCTTCATCTTCTTCACTTTCTGATGATGAGTTAAAATCAATAAACTCCATTAAAATTGTTGCGATCCCACGCAAAATGTCGTTCGGGGAGCACGCTTACGCGCTACGAGACGCCAACGCCAATTCAGTCGTTCGGGGAGCTATTGTGGCGCTCACAGTTGCAAGCTCCATGAACGACTTTTGTTGCATTGTGAGCGTGAGCACATGGCGAACATGGATGAAAATAACCATATTAACCTTGCACCGCAACGGATTGCAATTTTGCGTATGTAAATATAGTCTTTTACAATTAGTCCTTTCTGAATTTTCAAAGAAAAATATTACTTTATATAGAGCCAAAAAGGCAGAAAACAAAAATTCAAAAAATAGATTGTAGATTTGGCTTAAAGGTTAATAATTTGATCAAGAGAATATTACATACTTGCAATTTATCAATAAGCTTATTTAAAGCATTTAAAATTTCAGTCCGCTGATCCATTGTCTGCTGATGGCGTTTTAATTTATTTTCTTCGGCCATCCTTCGGCTTTTCATAATGACCTCTGCAATTTGAGAGGTCTTCCTCTTGCGTGAGTTTGAAGAGCCAACAGAGGTGTCACTGTCGACTGAAGAGACGTCACTACTCTCATTCTCTATGTGAGCTCGATTTGAAGAGGAAGCCAGAGCAACAGGATTCATAAAAGGTTTCTCTCCTAACAAAGATTCCATCACCTCAGTATAAGGCCAGGACCGAGGATTATTTCCTGATTTAGAATTGTGATCTTTGATGGATTTAAATGTTCTCTTCATCCCGTTAAATTTGCTTTGGCATTGTGGGCCAGTAACATCATGTCCATGCCTACAAAGAACTTCACTGATCGACTTCCACACTCGCTTTTGCGATATTTTGCCTACAGAAACATGAAATCTGTGAGAAAACCGAGGATCATGCACAGATCATTATAATGAATGACATCATTATCTTACCTGATATGACATCTTCCTCTCTCTTCCGATACTCCTCAATTAGAAGGAGAACAGCCTGATGCGACCATTTGAAGACCGAATCTGGTTCTGATTCAGGAATTTCGGCATCTAAAGTTGATGCCGTTGAGATCATGGAGCTTGATGAACTTGACTCCCCTTGGCTTTTCTTTAATACAGACAGAACTTCAGAAGCAAAAACAGTATCTGAAAATAACATAAATAAATAAAATAAATAACACAACACAGAAACATAACCTTCCATTACTTACCGGTTTCTACTCTGTGCGCATCTTTTGGTGAGAGACGCGTTGTATAAACTAGACCGGTGTTGATGTCTTCTAAGGTGACTAGTACGCCCTGATTCATTTTCAACAAATATTGAAAATAAATAAATAAGTAATACGTACACTTGTTCAAATTGAGCGAGACAGAAGCAGAAAACATTCGAACAGCGTTCAGGGAACACATTTTGGCGCTATGAGAGCTATTAGCATGTCGTGCCT